GACCCTGGACAATGACATCATGCTGATCAAGCTGGCTTCTCCTGTGACTCTCAGTGCCCGGGTGGCCACTGTAGCTCTGCCCACCTCCTCTGTACCTGCTGGCACTCAGTGCCTCATCTCTGGCTGGGGCAACACCCTCAGCTTTGGGGGTACGTAGGAGGGGTCACCTGCTACTTCTCTTGTGTCAATACACTCTGCAATCACCTCCTCTCTGGAGTTATCCCACCGGCTTCCAGACTGCAAATGCATTGCAAGCGCACAGCACATGCAGGTTCTCAAGCAGAGCCAAGACAAATTTGTACAGCAAATGGACTGATCTCCAGAATGCTGTCCAGGCGCATGCACAATGTGCTCTTATTCTTTTGGGAAGGACATTAGCAATGAATGTTGTGTAATTGAAAAGCCATAGTTTCTGAGTGGAACGTAATATCTCAGGGAACACTCCACTGCTTGCCAGTTGTTTCACAGCAGTATTGTTGTCTGGATGCAATAGTCTTCATAGTTTTCCTTTCCTCACAGAGCTTTATCCAGACCTGCTCCAGTGCCTAGAGGCACCCGTGTTGACTCAGGCTGAATGTAAAGCTGCCTATCCCGGAAAGATCACTGATAACATGTTCTGTGCTGGCTTCCTTGCAGGAGGCAAGGATTCCTGCCAGGTCAGTGGCACCCTTCATTTATGCAGACCTCTCCTCTCCTGGGTGGTTGGGTGGTGGGACTTCCAAACATAGTGTTTTGGGTCAGCAATTTTCCTGTGGTGGTTCTGTGGGAAAAGAGGAGGATAACAGATAGGCCAGAGAGAAAAACAAATGTTCTAAGTGAGAAGAGACAGGTATTGATCAAGTTGAGAATACACACAGCTTTATATCACATATCCTTTCTTATGCACTGTGTTCTTCCCTTCCAGGGTGACTCTGGTGGCCCTTTGGTCTGCAATGGAGAGCTCCAGGGCATTGTCTCCTGGGGCTATGGCTGTGCCTTGGCAGATAACCCTGGTGTGTACACCAAGGTCGTCAACTATGTGGACTGGATTCAGAGCACCATTGCTTCGGAGTAGAGATCCCCAATCTATCTGCAGTACTAAGCCAATAAACTAAATTTTTCCTTACTGCCCATGTTTCTGCCTCATCTCTTTAGCCTCTTGGCTCTGAAGCTTGCTTTCATTTGAGGTCCTTTCCCTCATCACTTGTGTTAAGTAGATTATATGTAACATTTAAGGAGAGGAGCAAGGGAATAAAAATTTGTATAATCATGGAAATGAAAGATTCATGGCAGGAGTAGGGGAAAAACAAAGAGTGATGAAAGTATACTCTGAAGTGTACCGTGAGATTCTTGGCCCAGCAGGTCCCTGAGGCCCTTGAGCCCCAAATAAACACACAGACACTATATTACTTATGAAACTGTTGGCCCGTGACTAGGGCTTCTTATTGGCTAGCTCTGTCATATTATTAACACATTATTAGTAATCTGTGTATTTCTATGTGGTCTTATTTTACCAGGATATGCCAGACTTTCCACTCCTTTGCCTGCTACATGACAATTGCTCAGCATCTCCCAGAGAAGAGAGTTATTTCCCAGAGAAGAGAGTTATGTCCCTGCTCATATCCTGTTTCTGCCCAGGTATGTCATTCCTGGGATCACCTGAAAACTCCCAGAATCCTCCTTGCCTCCTAGTCCTACCTATCATCCTGCCTGGCCAATCAGTGTTTTATCCATCAACCAATAAGAGAAACATATATGTTGAAGACATTCCCCATCAATGGAGAACTAATTTTTCAATAAAAAGGAAATTGCACGAAATAATTGCTTACAGGCCAATCTGTTCAAGGCAGTGTCCCAGTGTCTGCAAGAGCATGTGTTTTAATTTAATGTTAGTTTCTGTGGTATTACATAGTGACCAAAACCAACCAAACACAAACTAGTTAGGGGAAGAACGATTAGCTCTTCTTACTATTCTATTTTCCAGTGTATCATTTGGGGTGTTCAAGGTCAGAAGTTCAAGTGACTTATATCTCATTCATAATTGAGACAGTTAGAATGGACAGATCATTTGCTGTTTCCTTGATCTCAGCTACCATTCTCTAATTTTTGGTTTCCATGACTAAGGACTTGTGCAACCCACAATGGACTAATTCTCCCTAAATCAAACAAGAATCAAAACAATTCCCCACAAACATTTAGTCTATCATCCTCATTGTAACCCTCTTTCCAGTGGATTCTAGGATGAGTCAAACTGACAAATCATTGGGCAAGCGATGTGCTTATATCTTTAACATTTTTCTTTCTTATTCATTTCCTTTCTTTCCTTTATTTTACATTCTTTAACATACTTCAGCATTTTTTCCATTTTTGTATCTCTTTCTTTGATCTTGTTTACTTCCGGCTTTTCTATACTCTATTTATTTCAAAATTTCTGTTTATTATGTTTTCTTCTTTTGCCATTGGTGATATGGAAGTTGAGACATTTAAATTTATTTTTATTTTTTCTTTTATTGAATATAGAACTTTAATACAACACATTTGCATCATGGCTTCCCTTCCCAACTCCTCAGAATTATCCTCAGGTAGTCTAATCTACTTCCTTTATGTTTCTCACTACAAATACACAGGCATCCGAGGAGTCGTCATTAAATGAATAAACAGAATAAGAAAAAGTCAACACCTTGCATGCAGCTCATCCTAACATATCAAGTTTTGTGATCGTTCATCATCATGAATAGCACAGGAATGGATAAATAGGGCTGAACAAATAAATGTGTATGAGGATGAACCATCCTTTTGGCATATGTTCAAGAGTGGTGGAGCTGGATCTTGATGTAGACCAATTCCCTCCTTCCAGAGGAAGTGCTGTGCTGATTTTCATAGTGGCTGTACAAGTTGGCACTCCCACTGGCAGTTGGCTAGGGAGCCACTTTACCCCACATTCCTGCTGCCACCAGTTGTCATTTGTTTTGCTGACTTGTATAAGAATAGTCTCAAAAAGCCTTTATTTTATTTGTAATTTTTTTATTTTATAATTATAATTAGACCAATTTTAAATTAGAGATAAGCTTCTTTTACATGTCAATCTCAGTTCCCTCTCCCTCCCCTCCTGTGTGCCCCCCCTCACCCCCATCCCAATCCTTTTCTGCTCCCCAGGGAGGGTGAGACCTTCCATAGGGATCTTCAAAATCTGTCATATCATTTGGAGCAGGGCCTAGACCCTCCCCCGTGTGTCTAGGCTGAGAGAGTCTCCCTCTATGTGGAGTGGACTCCCAAAGTCCATTCTTTTGCTAGGGATAAATACTGATCCACTGCCAGAGGCCCCACAGATTGCCAGACCTCCAACCTGACTCCCTCATTCAGTGAGTCTGGATCAGTCCTATCCTGGTTTCTCAGCCATCAGTCTGGAGTCCATGAGCTCCCCCTTGTTCAGGTCAGCTGTGTCTGTGGGTTTCTCCAGCCTGGTAATGGCCCCTTTGCTCATCACTCCTCCCTCTCTGCAACTGGATTCCAGAGTTCAGTTCAGTGTTTAGCTGTGGTGTCTGCATCTGCTTCTATCAGCTACTGGATGAAGGCTCTATGATGGCATATAATTTATTCATCAATCTCTATTGGAGAAGGGCTTTTAAGGTAGCCTCTCGACTATTGCTTAGATTGTTATTTAGAGTCAACTGTGTAGATCTCTGGACATTTCCTTAATGTCACATTTCTCTTTAAACCTATAATGGCTACCTCTATTATGGTATCTCTTTTCTTGCTTCCCTCTATTCTTCCCCTGACTTGATTTTCCTTTTCTCTCCTGTCCTCCTCTCCTCTCCTCTTCTCCCTTTCTCTTTCTTCTAGCTCCTCTTTCCTCTCCCCCATGCTCCCAATTAGCTCAGGAGATCTTGTCCCTTTCCCCTTCTCCAGGGGAGCCATGTATGTTTCTCTTAGGGTCCTCCTTGTTTCCTAGTTTCTCTGGCAGTGTGGATTGTAGGTTGGTATTCCTTTGCTCTGTGTCTAAAATCCATATTTGAGTGAGTACATACCATGTTTGTGTTTTTGTGGCTGAATTACCTTATCACTTAGAACAGTTGCTTCCAATTCCATCCATTTTCCTGAGAATTTCAAGATTCCGTTGTTTTATTTTTTTTTTCCGCTTAGTAGTACCCCATTTTGTAAACGTACCACATTTTCTTCATCTATTCTTCAGTTGAGGTTACTACCATGTTCTGGCTATTACAAATAATGCTGCTATGAACATGGTTGAACATATGTCCTTGTTCTATGAATGTACTTCTTTTGGATATATGCCTAAGAGTGGAATTGCTGGATCTTGTGGTAGACCGATTCCCATTCTCCTTAGGAGTCCCCATACTGATTTCCAAAGTGGCTGTACAAGTTGGCACTCCCACCAACAGTGGAGAAGTGTTCCCCTTTCTCCACGTACTCTCCAGCATAAATTGTCAATGGTGTTTTGGATTTTAGCCATTCTGACAGGTATAAGATTGTATCTCAGAGTTTTTTGATTTGCATTTCCCTGATGGCTAAGGATGTTGAGCACTTTCTTATGAGTCTTTCGGCCATTTTAGATTCCTCCATTGAGAATTCTCTATTTAGTTCTGTACCCTATTTTTTAATTGGATTATTTGGTGTTTTGGAGACTAGCTTCTTGAGTTCTTTGTAGATTTTGGAAATCATCCCTTTGTCAGATTTGGGCTTGGTGAATATCTTTTCCCATTCTGTGGTCTACTGTTTTCTTTTGTTGACTGTGTCCTTTGCCTTACAGAAGCTTCTCACTTTCACGAGGTCCCATTTATCAATCGTTGATCTCAGTGTCTCTGCTACTAGTGTTATGTTCAGGAAGTGGTCTCCTGTACCAGTTTATCAAGGCTACCACCTACTTTCTCTTCTAAGAGGTTTAGTGTGGCAGGATTTATGTTGAGGTCTTTGATCCATTTGGACTTAAGTCTTGTGCATGGTGATAGATATGGATCTATCTGAAGTATTCTACATGTCAGCATCCAGTTATGCCAGCACCATTTGTTGAAGATGCTTTCTTTTTTCTATTGTATAATTTTAGCTTATTTCTCAAAAATCAGATGTTCGTAGGTGTGTGGGTTAGTATCAGGGTTTTCAATTCGATTCCATTGGTCTACTTGTATATTTTTTCTGCCAATACCAAGCTGTTTCCAGGACTACAGCTCTATAATGGAGCTTGAAGTCAGAGATGGTGATGCCTCTGGAAGTTCCTTTATTGTACAGGGTTGTTTTGGCTATCCTGGGTCTTTTGTTTTTCCATACAAAGTTGAGTATTGTTCTTTCAAGGTCTGTGAAGAACTATACTGGAATTTTAATGGGGATTGCATTGAATCTGTACATTGCTTTTGGCAAGATTACCATTTTTATTATGTTGATCCTAGCTGTCTAAGACCATGGGAAATCTTTCAATTTTTTGGTTTCTTCTGTAATTTCTTTCTTTAAAGACTCAAAGTTCTTGCTATACAGGTCTTTCACTTGTTTGGTTAGTATTACCCCAAGGTATTTTATGTTGTTTGTGGCAATTATAAAGGGTGATGTTTCTCTGATTTCGTTCTCAGTCCATTTATCATCTGTATATAGTAGGGGTACTGATTTTTTAGTGTATATTTGTAGTACAATTTGATATCATGAACGATACCTGCTACAGTTCTTTTACTATTCTGGAGTTTTTTAGGCTTTCCTGGTATTTTGTGTTTCCATAAGAAACTGTAATTTGCCTTTCCAAGATCTGTGTGGTACTGTGTTGGGATTCCCCACTTTTATTAAAAAATGTATCATTTTCTCATAAAATATATCATATTTGCAGTTTCCACTCATGCTACTTCTCCAAACAACATAGTACCAAGATGTGATCATGAAATTCAAGCTGCCTTTGTAATTCAGCATGTTGGCCTTCACCTAAAATCTGTTTTCTTTGGAAAATATTAATTCCTCTAGCCCCATTCCACTGTTCTTCAGCCCTAGATTCCTGTTGCACGTGTTAGCCATTGTAACTGAGGAATAACTTCCAATATTGCTGATGTCAAATCTTTCCTGCCTTGGGGGATAATTTTGTTTTGAGTTGCCTATGAATTTAGCATCTGCTACACACAGGGTGAATGCATACCATATGAAACAACTGCTTCTTTAAATCTCCTCAAGTCTAGTATTTCTATGGGATTCCATTTAACTGCTGCATAACCTCAGCATTGCTTATTTTCTGGTGGTCCTTCTTGTATAGTAATTGGATAAATTAAAGTTGGTTTTCCAATAACCCTGGGCTACCCCACTACAGTTTCAGCATGTAGTGGTACAGCGAGTTCCTGTCCAAATTCCTCTGTCTGTGTCTGAGTACTTTTCTTATTTTTGTTAGGTCTTTCTGATACTTGTTAGCTTATCAATAGTAACTTTTTCTAAATCTCATATCTTATCCACAATAAGCCTTTCTAAGGCTGTGTCTCATAAATTATAAATCTTTCTAGGTTTGTATCTTATCAGTTGAATTTCCGTATTTGGCACAGTTATTAAACCACTTTTTAAGGTTAAAATAGTAATTACAATCATCATTATGTCAATCCCAGCTAAGTTCATTAGCTTATTTATTTATTTATTTATTTATTTATTTATTTATTTATTTTTCCATTTTTTGGCCATTCGTAGTAGACCTCTACAGAGTCCTAACTCCCTGCAGTGTGGTATTTCTCTCAATGTGGGAAAGATTTTCATTTTAATATTAGTTAACTTTCTCCTTAAGAATTTCCCAGGTGTCTCTACCAAATCTTCAAACTTCTCAGTTTGTCAGCAGCAGTGAAGTCAGCGGTGAACTCGGGACCCCTTTCACAATTCCTGAGTGCTTGTCCACCCTCCAGAGTCCTCACGAGTAATGCAAGCTGCTGGAACAGAGCCTCATGAGGGCAGCAGCGGACTGTGGCAGCACCTGCTGGTGCTGCCATGGATTCTCCCTCCATGTGGGTGTGACCTACGTTAGAATGCCAGATGGTGTTTCTCCACTGGCTTAGTGGCTGCACCTGAAACTTCTAATATTTTAACGACCATTTGTGGCCCAGGGCCTCTGCCACTCAGGCCATGGCCTGGTGAGATTTTCTGTCTTGCCAACACTGGCTCTGCTGCTGCCGTGTCAGGTACTAAATTTTTTTTTTTTTTTTTTTTTTTTTTTCTAATTCTCTATTTACCAGTGAAGACTTGGGAGTCAGATGTTGAGGTGAAACTCTGATAGCTCAGAGAGGCCAAGAAGGAACCAGCTGACCTTCCTTTTTTGGCTACAGACACAGCAATGGAGTGTCTCTCTAGATGTTTCAAACCACCAAAGACCACAAAACTCCAAGTACCTCCTTATTCCTTCCTACGCATCTCTCTATCTAGCTCTCTTCCTAGCTCCTTTGTACTCTCTATGGCTGATTCTTGTCAACTAGTGGCTGTTTCCACATCCTGGCCCAAGGTTGATTTTATTAACACATTTTTGCATTTCACAGTGTGATCAAACACCTTACAACAGGGTTGCCCTAAAAGTGTGAATAAAAATAAATCCTTTCACTCTTAAGTTGCTTTGTCAGTATACTGAAAAAGTGTGGCTGCTGTGACAGAAGTTTTCTTTGTTTTTGTTTTTGTGGTGGTTGTTATTTGTTTCTTTGTCAGTAATGTAATGGGCATGTATGTTATAAAAGAAGGCTACTCTTTAAGAACATGTCCCACAAAAATAAGAGAAATATTCACCTCAATATATATGGAATTTGGACACATGGGGGCGGGCCTAGGCCCTGCCCAGGATGATATGACCGACTTTGGGGATCCCCATGGAAGGCTTGTTTCTAATTTGAACTAATAAAAAATAATTTCTTGGAAAAAACAAACAAACAAAAAATACATGTTTTGAAAAGACAAATGAGA